CCCCCGGCCCCCCCCCCGCCTTCCCCCCATTCCGCCCCTAGGCGACACATTCAGCTCCCTCGTGAATCCCAACGGGCGCGGCCGCCCCGTCCAGATGGACCCACGGGTCACTTCCCTCACCGGCATCACCCCCGACATGCTCCTCCACGCGCCTGGCGAGCCCTGGGTGGCACTCGCCTTCTTGTGCTGGCTGTATCAGCGCTGCCGCGCCGGCGGCGGCGTCCGCCCCGCCCTCGTGGGACATAACTTGCGAGTGTACGACAGTCCTTTCTTGGCGCGGATGTTGGCGAGGCAAGGCTGCTTGGTACCGTACAGCTGGTGTATGGTGGATAGCTTAAGGCTTGCCAGGAGGTGGAAGTTGTGGTCGAGTCGGGGTGGAGGGGATTTCAAGCTGCAGGTGAGACCGTGTGTGTGTGTGTATGGGGGTTGGGGCCGCCGTGTGTGGGGGCGTGTGTCTGTCAAAATGAAAATAAACTTCGACAGTCGTAAGTCGTACTTGCTTAAGGATGGCAGTACGACAAAACGCCCCTGGAGCCCTGGCCTAACTTAACTTCCTACACAACTAATTAACGAACTAAATAACGAATAGCTGCTTACCAACCCTTTTTTCGCCGCTTTTGAATAATCATCTGAACTAATTTTTCTAAGTCCCTGCGGGAGCTGTACAACATACCTCGTCGGGACGAGCATCGGGCGCTGCCGGACGCGCTGGTGACGGTGGATGTATTGGCAGCCATGGTACGACATCGGGTTAATGGGTCGCCGTTGCCGTACTCGCCATCTCCCCTGGAGCCGATGGAGGTCGTACAGCAGGTGAGCGGAGCTTGTTTCTGTGTGTATGCATGTATGTATGTGTGTGTATATATGTATATTAAAGATGTGTTCGGGGGCCGAAGGATTGACTTGCCAAAGAGAATTTGAATTTGAATTGATTGCCTGTTTTTTATGTTTTTCCTCAAGCTCCTTGTGCCCTTGGGAAGGCCGGCGAGACGGCGCTGCGCTTTGGAAAATGGTGGTACATATAAACATTGTTTTTGTTGAGTAGACCTGCCGTACCGCTTAGTGGTCGTCCAGACGGAGAGGTACCTGCGGCCAGGGGAAAGAGAGCGCACCCACCTCTGCAACCCTAACCACGCATCTTATGTGCGACCCCTTGCTTCCGTGGGAGAGGGGAGTTGAGCCCGGTTACCGAAGCGACTCTGCTGCTGTACGCTGAAGGCTATAGGCGGTCAGAAGCCGCAGCAGCGGCAACCTGGCGCAGTGCTCTCTGACGCTACACTACGAACTCACAAGTTTACTCTTTCCGTCGCACTACTCCTGCGACTTACACTAGCCCTGTACGGTCCAGCCGTACGCACCAACGACATTCAACGACCGAGTACGCTCTCGGCAAATACACACAGAAAACCTCCTGGCGAAAGAAAATTTCGCTTCACTCAGTGAATCTACAGTTATATCTATAACGATTATACAGTGGATAGCTCGTTACGGCAGAGTCAAGCCTCTGTAGCCTTTGCGAATTTCCCGTAGGCGTGGGAAAAAAAGAGGTACCCGCGGTCGCTCAACGTAACGATGTAACGATGTAACATCCAACCAGCTCACAAATTCGGGACTTCCGTACACTACAGGGGTTCCTGTTGTGGGAATCCTAATCCACGTGTTAACCATCTCTTATCGGTATTTGTGGTGTGTTGGCTGATGTGTTTTTCCCCTTAGTTGTGATGTGATGGTGTGGTGATAAACCCCCCTTCAGTTATATTTAGTAAAGAAGTTATCACTTGTGCACTTGTGCACTTGTTGTACGTAAAAGCCGACTACCTGTGGCATTTATATATGGCTTGGATCCTCTCACTCCTCCGCGTTCTCCGTTTTTGTAACGCACTTCAACTGACAACTGCTTAACCGTCACAAACCATTGCCGCTGACCGCCGCTGTCGTACAGGCTCTGAATGATGGCACCTTCGCCTGGTTTGATCAGAGCCCAGAAGAGACCATCTCTGTCGGCGGCGGCGGCGGCGGCGGCGGCGGCGGGTCGTCCCGCCCCCACCGGGAGAACCCGGTACCCGACCGCGGAGATATTTTGCAGCTCCTTCCCTGGAAGAAGGTACGGCAGCTGCTGGTGCATCTAGGCGCCTCCGTGGCGGAGGCGGCGACGGCGGAACCGGAAGCGACGGCGGCCGCAGCGGCGACTGCTGCTGCTGCTGCAGGACAGGCGGTAGCGCCGCAGGTGGCGATGACGACGACTACGGCAGTGTCGGCAGTGCTCAATAGTACGTACGGCAGGACCGCCGTCACCGTCGCTGCCGCTGCCGCCGGTACGAGTATTTCGACGAGTGCCGTTGGCG